TCAACAAGATGTGTATATTAAGATTTTTGCTTGATATTGTACGAGACGCTGAAGAGTAAAGTAATTTATTATAATTAGAAATGATTCAACTAAATTATTCAGTATTATTGAAAAAAAAGGAAATGGAAAGATTGAAAAATTAGTTTAAGTTCCATTTCATCTCTATTTTGTTAGAAATCATTTGCACTCAAATCAAGACCAGGTCGTATTGCTTATTGCAACCTGGTCTTGATGATCGATTCTAATTTTGAAATGGAATTCAAAAATTTCTGATGTCTACACACAGAAATAAATGTTTGATTTTGCTTATTTGCAGTGCATAATATTATTATGTTAGTCTCCAGGAACGACTAAATTTTTTTTCCAAAAAAACCTTATAACCCAATAATAGTACTCACTGTACCATATTCAACCCTAAAATCTCTGAATAAAATCCAGAAAGTTTCTATATTTACACACCTCCTAAGCTAACCCTTGATTGTGCAGATGAGAACATTCAATATTTTTTTCCGTAAAGACTTTAGAGAATAAGACTCAAATGTATTACTCACGGTATCGTGTTTGATCGTAATCTCTACAGAAAGCTAATAAATCTATATTTCTCCGAAGCTCACTTCTGATTCATTTAGTTGGATTATCAGATGTTGTTAGTTTCTAGAAACTACAATAATTTTTTTCCAAAGAAAACTTATAAAACAATTATAATAATCACTGTACCAATCTCTGAATAAAATCCAGAAAGTATCTATATTTATACACCTCTGAATGTAACCCTTTATTTTACATTTTATCAGGGATTGTCTTGATTCTGTCATAACATTCAATTGAGTTATCCGATGTTAATTTTCAGAATGACAATATTTTATTCCAAAAAAAAACTTTATAAAATGAAACTAAAATTTATTATTCATTGTACCGTGATTGATTCTAATCTGTGTATAATCTCCAGAAAGTTTCAACATCTACACGCTTATAAAGTTAATACGAGATTCTGCTTCTTGGCAGTACATAACATTCAGTTAGTCAGTCAGTTAGTTTTTGGAATAATATTATTTTTTCTGAACAGGATTTATAAAATGAGACCAAAATTTTTTATTCATTATGTTCTGACTGATCCCAATCTCTCGATAAAATACAGCAAGCTCATATATCTACGGTTCTCTTGATGTTAGATTCCGTTTTTGGTCAGTGGTATAACATTCAGTTAGTTCATCAAGTGTATGTTTTTAGAAATAATATATATTTTCCAGGACAGTACACTTACGAAAACATGCTTTAACTACATACTAGTTAAATTAACCTGAGCATTATGTTAGAGAAATTTTAACTCATGTGATAAAGAAGATATAAAAACCAACATGTGTTATAATTGAACCAACATCTAGTAAAAATATCTTGACCTGAAATTTAGTTAAAATCTGGTTAAATCAATTAAATTATTTTTATAAATGCACCTGATATAATTATGTGGCATATAAAAAAACAATGCTTGGAGTCAACAAAATATGTTATATGTATGTCTAGAACACTACTACGAAAATTGGAAGTTAAATTTTGGAAGAACAAGAAAACTAGAAAAATCTAGAGATTGATGAGGTGAGAGTGTGCAGCAAAATATCAGAGAGTTGAATATCAGCAACTGAAAGGAAAATGCTGAAAGCAAAACCGAGTGAAGGTACAATGCAAAACCGACTTAGTTACTTAATGGACTATATATTTAAAAAATATTCGAAGGTTATTGCAAACCAGCTTATGTTCTTAATGGAGTATATATTTAGTAGATATTCGGAAGCTGTTGTGAAACTAGCTAAGGTTTTTAATGGATTATATATTAAGTAGATATTCTAGATTTTCTATATAACTGGAATAAATGGAATCTATATAATCCTCATATATTTTTTTATGATGATGATGTTAATATAGATATATATTTTTTAAATATCTAACTTATATTTGTAATTAAAGATTTCTTAAACTTTACCTGTCTATTTCGCAATGTTTTAGTTAGGTAAATTAGTCACTATTTTTGATATTACAATCTTATGTATAGAATGCATTGATTAATTTTAATTTTCAAATAAAAATATTAACCATAAATGTTAAAGGTATATACTTCAAGTCCTGATTCATATTATGAACTCATATTTGAAAACCACAAATTCAAAAGAAAATAAGACTTCTTTAGAATGCATTATTAGGTCATAGGAACTTTAACTTTCGATTGGTCATAACGCTTTGTATTTTCCAAAAATATTTATGTATATATTTTACTTAAATATTTAAAAATTGATAAATTTTTTACATACTCATATACCAAAAAATATATATGTAATATTTCAAAACATACGAGCACACAATATGCGTACATATATTACGTGTGTTGGCAAATGAGTCACATTGCACCAGAAAGCGACATTCTATTGATTTTGTGAGTATTACAGAATTTTTAAAAGCATTTCAAGGCACACTCAGGCTTACACTTTACAAAAATATGTTGAGATACGCTAAACCCATTTGACATGGAAAAATATTTACAATAATTGCAATAATTCTTATTTGCTGCCAAAGTACAAAACTCCATAAATATTAAATTTTTTTAATTTTTTTTTTTCATTTATTCTATTTGTTTCAGATACCATGTATCTCGTAAATGCGCCCAGAGAAATAGGTTAATAAAATATAACTGCTTTTTATTTGAGTTTTTTATTTATTCTATACAAAGCCACTTTGCCATTTATGTCAAATTGACATTTGCATGTGAATATTTGATGAATGACTTAATTAATTAATAAAGTTTTGCGGGCACAAATAATTTAACAGTTGACATGGCATACAAAAGACGATAATAACGAAACGAAATGGGAAAAATGATAAATAAAATCACTTAGTTGAGTAGACAAAAGTTAAATTACTGGTTAGACAAACAATTAGTAACCTAATTTATGTGCCAAGATGTAAACTACATCAAATGCACTTACTGACCCAATTTAGGGGCATCCACTGAACAAGCCTAAGCAGCTAAACACGCCCGTATCTACAATTGTACAAGACATAAAAAACTTCACTTCCTACTGCGTTGCTCTCTTACACTTTTCCTTTTTTTTGTTTTTATTTTTTTTTGTTTTTGTTTAAAAAACACATTTTTCTTAACAAAATTTAATTACCATTATTTATTCTTACCACAGCACAATTTCTAACAACCCACTTAAGGCTTGTTAAGACCCGCTGGCTGCATGTGGACTTGACTCCACCTTTGACATTAATCAGTTTTCTTTAGGTAGAGACCAGAAGAAAAAAGTGAGAAGAAATGAAAAGTGCTTACAAATCACGCCAGCCCAGTTCGCTTAAGCCACTTAAGCCCATAAAAAATTTAGAAAAATTGTTTTAGTAATAAAAACAAAATTCATATAAAAGCACAACAGCAACTACATTTTATTATTTCGAAATTGATAGCTACTTTATTTTGCATATAAGCTTAACTGTGTAAAAAAAATTTTTTTTTATATATATATATAAAATATGTATATTTAATTTATTAAAAATTTGTGCCATAGATGCGTACTTTGAGCCCAGCACTACTACTAATTAAGCTCATCAATTAATCAAAATTTTCATTGCTTAAAAACCTTAAAAAATTAAGTAAAATCTATTTTTTTTCATATAATTTTTTTTATGAAAAAAATATTGTTAATATTTTCACAAATTTATTTAGCTAATATATTTTAATTTTTCATAATTTTTTTTTAATTTTTAAACATATTTTTTTAGTATTTTTTTGTAATTTTTCAATTTTATCTTAGACCACCAAAAAGAAATTCCATTTCTGGCTTTGAATAATTAATCTTGTCTTTAAAGGTTAAATGACGTTCAAATTTAGAAAAAAAAAATATTTTTTATACGTCAATATTTTTTTCAAATTTTTTATTTTTTTTTTTGTTAATAAATACTTTGTACTCATTTAACGTAATTTGCATTTTAGCATTTTTACTAACTTAAAAACATAGTTTTTAACTTATAATATTAGGTGTGAATGCGTTTCACAAAATAGTAGAAAATTATTTTAAATAAATTGTAAACAAAATAAAAAATAAATAGAAATATATTTATATAAAAATTAATAGATCTAAAAAATTATACTGTGACATTATCACTCCTAGTAATAATAACCTATAATATACACATGGATTTTTTTTAAAAATTCTACAAGATTGCAGACGAAATGCCGTAAAAATTCATATGAACCATCTAAAAACCAAGATGTGGCTTAAGGATTCTTTAATATATAATAATATAATAATAATTATTATTATAAATAGACAACTATGTGTCATATTTTAACTAAATGTTTAGGTTTCAAAATTCCAATGCCTAGATCAAGGCTGTCCAAAGCACAGTCCACCGGCCTCCCGGCTAATATTTGTGCCGCCCACTACGTATTTCTAATCTACCACTATTAAGCAAATTATCTCTTAGTTATATTTTAGTAACATCACATTATTTTATTTTTATGGTATCCCAAATAAATGAATTAAAATATTTTAAATAATTTATTACACTTATTATTACGTTAATTTATTTAATTGCGAAAGACTTTAGTATATATTATATACATTATACATAGTATATATAGTGCCGTAAGTGATTACATTAAAAATAAACTAATATCAATAATGCTGATATTACAAGTATTAAAACTAATTATTAATCCTAAATTTATCATTATCGTCGTATTTTTATTTTTCTTCGGAAAAATTATGAACATATGTAATTATTTCTGCCGCCCTCCAACCTATTCAGTGTTTTGTATTAGCCCGCGATCTTATCTGGTCTGAACAGCCCTGGCCAGATAGTGAAGTCTGCATCTTTCCATAGCTGGACAGGCGCATTGAAAGTATTCTGCTGTTTACTATTGCTCTTGAGAGAGTCGGCAGGAATCGTTGTCTGCCAGACTTAAGGAATCGACTTAAGGAGTTGAGATCTTGGATTTGCTGTGTAATTTAACAAGACAAGATACAATGATATGTATATGTACGTAAGTGCGCCCTACTCTTAAATAAGAAAAAAATATATATCACTTTTATTGAAATGTCCCAAAACGATAGTATTTTAGTAAGTTTACTGACATACAACAGTCAATTAAATAACAATACTAGAAAAATAAATACTTTTTTTAAAGTTAATTAGTTTTGACAGAAAAGCCACGCTTTCTTATAATCAAAAAAAAGCTATTTTTTATAATTTAGACGGCTTTGAATATTAAAGAAAAGACAAGCACAAAAATTTAGTTACTTTATTGAAATTTGGCGTCCTTAAAACCCCTGTAATACTGTTTTTAATAATTCTTGTTGTATAGTTCGGCCCATTCATTGTCGAAGGAAGAGCAATAGATTTATTTTAAGACTATATCTAGCGCATATACAACGAAATTGATGCATGCTAAAAACTTATTTCCTAGAGGCACTCATTCACAACAAAAGCTTACTAAATGCCATCTTTAACTTTATTTAAGTTTTCAAATGGTTTCAAAACCTTCGAGCTGTATAAGATAATACAGTTAAATAATAAAGAGAAATGGATTCTTAGTATCAACCCAGCTAATATTCAATGGAATGTCAAAAAAACTAGGTATTCGTACAAGGATATAACCACATTCTAAAGTTGGTGATGTTTCAAGAATTTAAATCTAATTTTTAGTCAAAAATTCCAACTAAACACTAAAAGTTCAGAAAGGTCAATTAAAAAATTAACTCCAAACTCCACATACTTAGTCTTCTTTTGCTCTACCAGAAACTTCCCACATATCTTGAAAGCACTTTATTCTTTCACAAAAGCTATTTGTTTTTATGCTTTGCTGTTTTTCTTTTCTTCCAAAATTTTTCTCTATTCTTTCTATATTCTTTATATATTTTTGTTTTTTTTTTTTTTGTTCTTAATTTTTTTTAGTTCTCACATTTGCAACGTTTTGTTTTCAACTGAACTAAATTTAATTATCTTCATTAACTGTAACAGCTTTGCAGAAATTATTTTAACACATTTTAGGGTTCATTGATTGAAAGCCAATATAATTTTGTATTCCGGAAAACGATTATTAAATTTTTTTTTTTAGTTTTCTTTAAACCGAATTTTTTTTAAATTATAAAAAAAAATTTTTTTCTGAAATTCGTTTCAATTTTTGCAAATATTTTGCATATTGTTTTTAAAATTTCACGCTGAGTGAATGTAAAATTCGCAATATTTTTCTGTATTTGCTTTAATTTAATTCAATTTCTATTTTATTTTTTTATTATTTAATTTATTTTTGTTTTTTTTTATTTTTAAATTTTTCTTTTACTCAAAAGTTCATTAACTTTGGCTTTTACTTCTGACCAGGCCAGCAAAAACAAAACCAAAACGACTTGACAGTATTAATTAAAAACAAAAATTTCTGTTTTGTTTTATGTAAATTAATTACATTCAGGTCAGTTTTATTTGCAGTAGGTGTAATTTATGCTTAAATTTCATTTTTTTTTATATTTTTATATATGTATATTATATTTCAAACCCTTTAAGCATATTTTTTTTAACATAATTCTTTCATTAACAAAAAAAAACTGCAAGGTATAAACATTTAAATATATTGTTAATTAAAGTTCTAAAATCATTTAAAGCGATAAACACTGGTTTTTTACAAGAACTAAAAAAAAATTAAATATCATTGAAGGATTCAATATAATTGTTGTTTTGTTATTTTATTCTCTAAAAAATTAAAAACTAAAAAAGTATACTAAAAAACTGCAGTCATGAAAAATTTAAGGGAAAATTGATGAACAACGCAATTAACGTTTAGGAATTGATAGAATTTTGCTAGCAAAAATTTGGAGTAAACAAAAAACACCAGAAAAATGTGATGCGTGTATAGAGGCAAGATATAATTCGGCATCAAATAATTTTGTAAATAATAGTCTAAATTGAAATGTAGAGAAAGGTGAAATACAAATTCTTCCTCCGCCTCAAATTACACCAGAAAGTTATACCAATAGAAGCAATAAAATTACTTTAAATGATAAATTATGTACTTTATACTACAAATATCATATATGCATATATATGACAAATGCTTGATAGTTTCACGCGATTTTAATACTGGAATTTAAATTCAGGAAGAGAATACTCTTTATTTATAGTCGTTGAAACTTCTAAGATAATCCATTTAATCACAAACTCATAAGAGTTGTAACCACATTGAATATTGCTATGATCCAGTACTCATTCATAAATCTGGCCCATTATGTCTTCTAACCTTTAACAATAGTTTACTAGCACTTTAATCTAAGAAATAGGTAGGTCAGATATTGTTGAGATACCAGAGAGATATTCATGGATAGCTGAAACAGTATTTGTCAACATCTTGCAGATTCGAAAAATAAAATATGTATATTTAAATGTCTTCGCAAGAAATAATATCATTTAAGTTGAAAATATAATATTTTACGAGCGGATGCTTTCACCCATTCTGTAGATCTTAGGCCTTCTCATGAAGCAAGGCTAGAAGTCTTGAAAAACCCCGAGGAACTATCAGAAACTGATATCAAAATGTTCTTAAATGGTTGTTTTATCAGGTCAATGTTCTTTTATCCCGTCATCTATTCTTTTGAATAGTTATGATGTGATTTTAATTGTCTAGATGCACATTAAAATATTTTACATATTGTGACAACTCCAGAAATATAGTTTATGTGATCAATAATTCGTAATAAATTATAGAAATCATCAACATTGCCTATATACACATGTTATCTTACTTAAACTTTTGAAGTAGATTGCAGTAATCTAGCCATAAACGACCGAGAGTGATGCGTCTTTATAATGAAAAGATGTTTAGACGGGTACGAATAGCAAAGAAACGACAAGGACAAAAATTTTATTTAATTTATTGAAATTTGGGTGACCATACAACGGTGTTTCGAGTCAAGTATTCAATCAAGTATTTATCAACAGTGATCGTAGAAAATAATTTTTTTTTCTTTTTTTATAAAATAATTTTTTTTATAAATTTTTTTTTTATAATAAAAAGTCGTATTGTTCTTAATGGAATATTTAATTTTAGTATCTATATATCTAGCATTTCTAGTTTATACATCTAGTATATATCTAGATTTCTTCATATCTATCCATTTTCTTTCTTTCTTTTTATTTAGGACAAATACCAATTGTTATACTATATACTAAATATATAAAATACTTAAATTATAATAGTTTTTTCTATCTACAATAGAAAAAAAAAAATTGCATTTACGCACGTGTTCATTATAATAAAATATTGACTACAAAAAGATATAGATAAAATTAGTTATAATAAACAAAGATGTAATAGTTTGATAAGTAAGAGCATTGTCTAACGTTTTCGTAACGGATTAATCTTACAAAAAAAAGAACATAAATATATAATTAAAAATTTAAACAAATAAAATAAATTTATCTTTCTAATTTTACTATTTTTTTTTTTGTGCACCAACTAGATAATCTTCTTATTTCATGGTAAAAAAAAAACAACTGCATTAATTACTTTAGTTTAAAAAAAAAATAGTAAAAACCGAAAATAGTTCCTCCAATATCAGTGCTATTTGCTGAAATCATAGCTTTTTATATATATTGGCCAATATACATATTCATAGATAAAAAAATACCGTTTTCTCAGTTAAGTCAATAAATCTTCAGACTCTTTCCAGTCATTAAAGCTTGACCATTTAATCAATCGTGGTATCGTGGCTTTATTGCGAATTTTATGCTTCACAGTTTAAATTCAAATTGCTAATTTATTTATATATGCATTTATTTATTTTTAAATATTTATCGTACTTAAAACCACAGAGTAAAGATATCAAATTTTATTTGGCATAAGAAAGGTTTAAAAATTCTTTTATAACTGATTTTAAGCATTTTTTTCTAGGGATTTGCATAAAAATATTTTGATATTCGAACTTCTTTATGGATCGAACTCATTTCTGGAAGTCTAGTTTTGGCAAATTTCTTTAGAAATTTTTACATAAAATTAAGCAAATTAACTTTCAATTTCTTTTCTATTTTGTCAACCAACCGCAAATTTGGGTTGAAGTGAACTTTCGCTCTTACGTTTTTATCTTATAAATTTTTTATCTTCATTTTGAACGAAGATTGTACAGTAATAATCATAATACATAATAATAATGAACTCTTTATTTTGTTTTTTTTTTTTTATTTTGTGTACTGCTGAAACCAACAATAGTTTGCAATTAATTTGCAGTCAGATACTTTTTAAAAGATATTTTGGACATTAACGCCGCAGTGCTTGACGTGTAATTAAGTTGACAAAAATTTTCGTAATTATGTGGTAACCTTTTATTAATTTTAATTTCATATTTTAAAAACACACCAATTTTATTTATTTTTTTTTTTTTGTAAATAAACCCACAATTTGTGTAATTTTTTTGCAATTATTGTCATTTAAATAGTGAAAATGTGTAATTGCAATAAAACTGAGTAACAAGTTTCGATTTCATTAAGAAAAATAATGTCGCTCAATTAAATCTCAAAATACAAAATTTTTACATACCACACAAGACTTGACATAAAATAATAATGTTAAAAAAATTAAATAAATAAAAATATAAACCAAAAAAAAAACAAAAAATGAATAAATAAACTGTAATTGAACTAATATCGAGACAATTAAAATATTTCAACTACACCAGTGTAAACAATCTTGCTTAAGAACTGTCAAGAACCCACACGCAATGTTAAAAGTACTTCGGTTCCACTCACACAACTTGAGTCCAAAAGTGTACCAAAAGAGTAAACAAACTGTCAATTTTGCCAAATCGCACATAACATTTGCGAAATTCTATTTATTCCACACAATAAAGTAACTTTTAAAATTTATTTATATTAATAATAAAATAAATATTTCACAATTATTTCATTTGGATTTTGGTATTTTGTTCATTTCTACATGGGCGCATACACTCGTATGTGCTGTCAGGGTTTGTGACAGTTCAGCAAGAAAAATTATGTCCAAAATCTTAGATTGTTTCAAAACTGACATTTTGTGCAATGAAAACAAAAACCGATTTGCAAATGAAATACAAAATGTATCTAACTGAAGCTAACTGATATCTTATAAGTCTGATTTACTAGTCTTACTGCACAACTTTGAGGTTAACAATTTTTCAATTTAATTAATTGATTGGTTTATGTGCAACTTAATTGTAAATTGTCAAATGGATTGAGTTAATTTATGTTTCTGTGCTGGCAACACTACTCTACTTAATGGATTACAAACAATGTTATTCTTGTTACAGCTTAACAATTTCGATAATGCAATTAAAGCTCATAGCTAAGCCAAACGAAACCAAAGGTGAGGTTGGTAAAGAACAGTGACGGATATTTCAAAAACAAATTAAGGGGTCATAAATGTATTAAGTGCTAGTTTACGAAATTATCAATTTAACACATATTTCTTAACAAAGAGTATTAAAAGAGTTTCCCAATATGTATATTAATCGCATCAATAAACCAATAGACCAGGTTCTATTGTTCCACGAGCTTCTCGTAGTAAAACTCAAGTAAAACACAAATTAAATTTACATGAAAATTTGCTGGTGGAACGGACTTGTGTATACACAATGTTACTACGGGATAGCTCGTGGAACAGACCTAGTTTCATAAATCTAAAAAATGAGTCAAAATTTAAGGAATTATAGATAAACTGTTATAATGTATATAATGCTATACTACTGGATGAAATAGGGGACTATAAAATTTATATAGGTAGTCTATATTAACTAACATATCATGTGTACTGGCGCAATAGATGACCATAAGTTTCAAAAATCTTACGACTAAGTCATACCATATATGTAAGTTATAATAATTCACATTATATTATGTTTTAGGTAAAAATAGTGGATTAGAAATTTCACATAGGTGACTATAGTGTTGTATTATATCCAACTAAAATAATATGTATATTAGTACTATCAACAGGTGATCAATTGTTTTAAAAATTTAACGAATAAGTCATTATTTAGAGAAGTAATCATCATCAGCATTAGAATTCGAAGTGAGCTTTAGCTGCATCAACCAGTTTTCTCTATTGTGCTTTATATGTTGTTTTAGACCTCCAATTTTGGACATGTTTTTTTTTTTTTATGTCATCCATCATGTTGTCGAGCCATCTTTTACGTAGCCTACCTCTGCTGTGATCGTTGTACAGCGTGAAATGCAGTATTCGCTTTTGTGGTCTATCATCCGGGATTCTGATGTGTCCGATTCTTCTCAAGCGCTGCGATTTTGGCAATTTTACAGCTTCTTCGTGGTCCAGGCGAATGGAACCATAAACCTTTCTCAGCACTTTCATTTCAAAAGTTCTGATTTCATTTTCATCTGCTGTCGTTAAAGTCCATATTTCGGCTCCGTAAGATAATACTGGGCGGACGATTGCATTGGAAATGTGTAATTTGGTGCTTCTGGTCACGATTCTAGATTTGAAGATTTTTGCTTGGCCATAATAACTTCTGGTTGCTGCCACAATTCTGTCGTAGATACAAACAATGATGTCGTTGTTGCTATTAATGAGACCACAAAGGTATTCAACGCATTCAACTTCACCAAAAGTGAAATCATCGACTTGAATGGATTCTAAAAATCGGCTGTGCATATTTTTTTCAACAGTCACATAGTTTATTTTGTTCTCGTTAATGTTTAGTTCTACTGCCTTAGCTCTGTTAGAGAACTAGTTTCGAATTGTGTGTTGGGGGCTAAGAAACTCAAGCCTTTTAAAGATTAAGGGTTTTAAGGTGTTCTTTTAAAAAGATCTCCAGTTTTATCAAACAAAAAACAGAAACACAACATATAAATTTTGAAATCATACTTATTTCTTTAAAATTGATATATATTATTTTAAAGTAATTTTTTAAGACATTTTTAATACTTTATTTAACTCGTTAATATTTTTAATACTTCATGCCATATTTTTATTATATTTATTCAATACTCTTCCCTATATTTGTATTGTATAAATGTATCAGTATTTTTAATTTATTGTATTTTTATTATAGCATATCTATATATACAATATATTAAAAATTCTTTATTATTTTTGTGATTTTTTTTACAGATTATTTCTATCAAACATACTTGTAATTAATTTCAAACCTTATCATATGTTATCCCAGTATGTGTCACATAAATTTATTTAACATTATTCATATTAACTAATTCCTTTTAAAGTATTTTATGATATATCAAAAATTTGAAAGAAATCCATTAAATTATTACTTGTCTCTAACACTGTGTTTTATGTTTTTTCTTCCTTCCCATTTTATGTACACGATCAGATCTTGATCCAACACACACAAACAAAATGGAGAACGGCATACAATTGTTGCCGCAAACATCATTAATTATCAACGATTACTTAACACTCAGTTCACCACCCACATATTCACGTTTACCACCGGACGGACATGAATTCCCGCCAAATTTCAGTGAACCACTAATAATGCCTACACCCAATTTACTAAAGGCTGCCAGCCTAATGCAATCCACCACAACTACCATGACAACAGCGAACAGGCATGGCAGCAATGCACACACAAACACAGTTTACACTGAAAAATTATATGCAGCAGCCACTGCTGGCCAGACCACGGTTGCCAGCACACGCACCACACATATAGCCAGTTCCACAGCAAACGGATTAACAACGTCAAAGGTCAGCGTTGAGATGGAACAGCAAAAATCACCACAAATTTCTAATACAGCAGTTGATGCAGTACCACCACCGCTACCTAAATCGGTGCCACCACCAACAGTACCACGTAAAGTATATCGACAAGATTTGGTCGTCAAAGTAGAAGATGCACGTACCGATTTGTTGCAACCTAAAGTCGCACCTACAACTCCTGCACCAACCACAGCTAGCCCTGCCAAGTTAATCTATGAGTCACGTCATAGCCGTTCCACACAAAATCTCACGGCAGCCAGTACACCTACAAGCAAAGCAGATACTGTAGCAGCTTTTGGTGCCAACGTTGACTATAAACGTTCCTTAAGTGCACCACGCAAACATAGCGATTGGCGCAAGGATGAAAAATCAGAGAAAAGT